TGTAGCCTGGAGAGGAATATTGCAAAGAAGGAGGAGCAAACTCTTACACTTTTCTGTCTCCCTCTCTCTGTTAGTTGCGGGAAGGGGTGGGGGGAGAATTAAAACCCATGCTCTGAAACCAAAGCCCATTGAAGTCAGTGGGGGCGTTTCTGTTACCTTCAACGGACACTGGATCTGGTTTATAGATTTCTAAACATAAAATGTGTTCACGTTATGTGTTGAAGAGAGTTTCAGTGTATTGGATCTATGTAATGAGATCGTTTATTCTTTCTTTTTCCTAGAGATATACCCAAGTCCAGATCACATGGATCTGAACATCCTTGAACTTTGGGAAAGTCTGGATCATGATCTGAACTTTATGGATTGAGCCAATCTCTAACTTTCTGTTTGCACATTATTTAAATATTTTTATTTCTGATTTACTCTCCCAAACACAGTGGGCTATTTTCTTAAGTACCTATTGTGTAAGGTGTATTTGTGCATGGTGCTCTTCTCTGTCTGTAGTCTTCCCCCAAAAAAATTTAGGAGCAAAACTGAATGGAAAAATGCTGGAAAATCCTTCATTCCATCCTTATGGAAACTGCCATGTCCTTTCTTTCCACTTGTTTAACCCAATTGACAACCGTTTTCGGGTGCTAAGAGTAGCTTTTATGAGGGTGAGTTTGGTATAAAATCAGACTAGAAAAAACTGAGTAGCTGGGATTTTTCTCCATAACAAGGGTCTACATTTGGCAAAAATGGTTTTTGCCTTGTTATTGCTGTACAATTCCAGGAACATTTGAAATGAATAATAAATCTTTTAAAATAAATTAGGAAATGAAAGCAAGGGAAGTGCCTCAAAAACAGCAGGCTTGTTCTCTTCAGGCTTGTTCTCTTCAGCTTCAGAGTAGCACACACTTTTTAGTTTTCTGTTGCACCAAAATAAATAACAATTAAAACTTTTATTTTTGCTATCACCACCTCAGTGTTTGTCCTTTTAATATGCTGACAGAATTTAGTATACTGTAAAATGAAAAAATAAAATAGGTTTAATTATTTTATTTAGTACTAAAGCAACACAAAGGATTAAATTCTCATACAGCCTCAGCTTCACTGTGTTGTTCAGGTGTAACTGAGGCACAGAACTTGACCAAAAATATTTAGTATCAACTGAAGGAGAAAGTGGTATGAACAAGCCAGATGTGTGTTTTTGCAAAATACAGCATCAGATGCATGTAAAGGATACCACAGCTATGTAGAACCTGACTCTTCCCATTTGATAAGGCAGGTACTTAGGGTACCATTCATTGTGAAAATATTCCTTCTATTAGTTAAGGCTGGGGTTTTCAGAACATCCTAAGGAAAATTCATACTGGAAATTCAATGGATTTTGGGTGCCTAGTTCCCTAAGGCTGTTTTGAAAATCCTAGCCTAAAACAGGTTGGATCTTACTGAATGTGCAATGTGCCAAATAATTCACTGAACTACATGCTGAGCTGTGTGCAGGCAATTGCTGAACTGACTCTGGCTATTATTATTTTTCAGCAAAAATGTACAGGGAAGAAAAGTGGAGGCTCATTGTTCACCTGCTTTTCGTTAATTTGTGTATGAGCAAATGGATGCGTCAGTGCACCTTCCCACTGGTTGATTTCATCATCTGTTGTTTAGCTTCTTGAATGGACCTTTGTGCGTGCACAAACACCTATGTATCTCAAGCATTTAAGTCTTCAGAAATGCAAAATACTCCTTTTCTCTCCTATTTTATTGATGAGAGCATGATTCATACAAATGTTGAGGAATTTTTTTCTGTACGTGGTGATTCATTTCTGAGACCAAAACAAGTGCATTGGCCTCTCTGGATCTGGAAGAGACATCATTCCTCGTTGTTCTAGCACACAGGCATTGACTCTTTGAATGTATTCACAGTGTTTTCGGGGTGGGGCCTCCCTTGTCCAGGATTGTGTGAGTGCTTGGTCATTGGCTTCAGGGCCATCTTTTAGGGTGGGGCCTGTGGAGCGCTACATCTTCATTCACTGACAATAGCTTTTCCCGGTTTTATTCTAGGCCGCTGGAAATGTGGCCCTCCATCTTTGACCAGGAATTTGCTTGAGCAGACTACTGTACAGACTATGTGATGCAACGTGACCATGCAGTGAACACCCAGTGAGCTCTCACCTTCTCTTGCCCCCTTGAGTACAAGCCCAGCCTGGAGGTGATGTCCCGGAGCTGCCCTAGGGAGCAAAGATTTCAGGTTACTCTGGAACCCATGAGGTCAGTGCTGTGTCAAGTGGAGTCCTTGCTGCCAACCCACTGGGCCTATTGCACTCTCCTTTACAGATATATGTTGGGTACATTTTTATTTTGTTGTTTGTATTTCAGTAGTGCCTAGATATCCCAGCTGTAATCCAGGCCCTCTGGTGCTAGGCACTGTCCAGTCATATAGAATGAGACAGCCTTGCCCGGAACAGCTTGCAAGCTCATTAGACAAGACTGATAAAGGATGGGAGGGGAAGCAGAGAGAGCATTTGATTGCTCAGTCACAAAGCAGGTGGGTGGCAGAGTGAGTTCTGAACAGCGCACAAGTCTTCTGTGACCCAATCCAGTGACCTGTCCGCTAATAAATAGATATGGGGAGCAGTAATATAACTCTGTAAGAGACGCGACCTGCCGTAAAATGTCTGCATTAGGAGCACAGAACTGCAGCAGAAAGGCTGTGTTTCCACAGAGGATGCTTGAGCACTCTAAAATTAGCCTTGAAAAAACATTTCCAGAAGCCCCTTTTTGAAGGAGCTGGTGCTTTGAGAAATGGGATTTGATGTGGCAGGGGACATGGTGTTACTCCCATGGCAAGCAGTGACAGTGAAAGCAGACTACAAACCTAGCTTATTCATGGGTCAGCGTGCACCTCGTATTTGGAAGTGCTTTAATCTTTGTGAGATTTCAGAGACATCTCTGCTAAAGCAACTCACGGCAGACAGCCCTTTAGAAGAAGGGATGGTTGTGGTGTATGCACAATTCACAAGAGGTGGAAGGCTCTACCGTACATTACTGTTTATATTTATACACTAAAGGAGGTGTGATAAGTAGATGTTGACTTGACATGGTTTGTGTTGATGTTTAGCAACTGTAACTGAAGCACCAATTTTCCTCTGCCTTCTGGTAAGTGTTCTTCTCAAGTTCTTTCTGTGTGGTTGAATGCAATGAAGTATATCAGGTATTTTCCAGGTTTGCAATGACATGCTCTCAGGCCGCTGTATGTGAGCTGATAGCTTAATACAAAATTCCGGTTTGAACATACTACTACTCGCTCTTAATGTTCACTTCTGAAGAGCTTGCCCTGAGTCTGATACTGCACTGTCAATATAACCTAGGGTTTGTTCCTCCATTTTAAGGATTTCTGGGCATCTGCCCTACAGGTCTCCAGGAAGATTATTGTAGGTCAGATTATGGCATTAGGCACTGCCCTGAATGTCATGGGATCATCCCAACTTCAGAAGGGCAGTCCCCCAAACTGGGTGCCTGATCCTGACCAACTATTCAGAGATCAGTATGTTCAGAGCTGCAGTGCAACATGGGGACTCGAGGGAAAGAAAGTGCCTGTGGGGGGACACGATTCCTTCCCAAGGGACCTGCTTCCCATGAGGACTTTTCAGGTCAAAGTTTGGGGTCGGGATGCTTTTTCCCTGCCTCCCCCTGTGGTGCACCAAGAGACTGCAATCTGACAGGTCATGCTTGGACTGTACAACAGAGTGGAATGTTCTCCCCCTGCAAACCTGCTGAATCACCTGTCACAATGTAGCCCTGTTAGACTTGGTTCTATATTGAATACTCTCAATGAATACTGCATTAGTCAGTTTGTAAGGAACTGACTTGCTGGAAAGAGACTAAGTATCCATATTTTCCTGACTCTACCAGCTTCCTCTAGGATGTAGGAAAAATAATATCCACTTTCAATGATGGGGACAACTTTTCCAAATCAAGAGGTTAGTTTGTGGCTGCCAAATAAGTGCTTGCATTAACAGTTACCTATTAACTATGCATTTGCACATGCTAAGCCAGGGGTTTGTGCACAGATGGATGTTGAATTTGCAGTGCAACATAGCCACTGATGTTAGAAAATGTGCCCCTGCAAGGCTATTTAGCTCAATGGCTCAATCACCAGGACTTATGATTAAATGAAATATCCACTCTGACTCTAAATTCCATCCACTGCTCTTGATCCCTGTGTGCAATTCTAACGGTGAAGTGATGGTGACTCTGAAAGATATTTTGAGTTTAGGACTTTTTATTGTGTAGCAAGCGATGGCTTAATCCTGTTAAGCACTGGGATCTGATGAAAATGCTGATCTCCAAGTAGTTGGTTAGGATCAGTCACCCAGTTTGAGGTTGTTCTCATGACATTTAGGATGAGTGGCACTCCTCCTTGCACCTGTTCCTTTAGCTACTCGGTGGATACCTGAAAAACATCTACTCTCTGATGGACTTTCAGGTGTAAAGTAATGAGTCCAGCATATTCAGCAGATCTGGGTTTAGTATTGCAAAGTTTAAATGTTCAAAAATAATGAGTTAGGCCCCCAAAATCATGAGATTAACTTACAAGTAACTTTTGAGGGTATTTTCTCTTTTGGTGTTGTAGCTTTCAAGGGCCACGTTTTTCAAGTTTTCCTCCTCAACCAAGAGGGCTAGAAACTTACTTTAAAAATGGAAGCTTAGATTCTCCCCTAATTACATGCCTCTGGAGCATTCAAAAAGTACCATATCATGAAACTTGGGCTCAAATTGGGAAAATAGGCCACAATGGGGGCTCTCCACTTTGCTGCCCCATGGTATTGCAGAGGCTGTTCGCTTGTTAAGTTGTGCTTCACACAGCATCACGGAAGGTGCTTTCTCTGTCATCTGTATTTGCTTCTGAATAGCTTCTGGTTGAGATTCAGGCATAAGTTTTGACCTACAAAGCTCTACCACGTTTAGGACCTACCTGCCAGAGAGAGAGGGTCTCTCCATTTAGTACCACTGCCATGCAGAGGTACTAGAGCAAACTGCCCCTGTGTTAACAGGGACAGGGCTGGTGGCAGGCCGTTGCCTGTGCATGGTCGTTGGCTCTGAAGCATACTCCTTTATTGTTTGGGCAGAGCTTGGCTTTGTTATTTAGAGGGCCCCACTGCAAAGCTCATCTGTTTCCCGGGCCATTTGTTGAGGTGCTGGGTGGACTGATGCGGGTAGTCAGAGAGGTGTGGGGTTGTTATTATTTTGGGTGAAGGTTATTTTCGACTGGGTTGCTCAGTTCTGGTGAGGTTCACACAATCAAAAATGGGCCAAGGCAATGAAGGGTTTGTGTCATCTCACTGTGTATTTGTTTAATGCCTCCTCTACTTTCCATTGCAGTTCATATGCTGATACGCAGAGGTTTAATTTCCAACTGCTTGTTGCCTAACACAGTTCCAGGATGCTGCTGAGATTTACCCTTAGATCATACGGGCAGTTTCCAGTCAGTGCACATCAGGACATAAAATGAAGGGAGAGCGCTTTCCCAGGCTCTATTTGATACCATTGAGTGCTCTCAGAGTCAGTGAACTGTGACTCATTTCTTATGAAGAATACTAATGATAATTTGCATTTCTGCACCACTTTTCAGGCAGATGGCCCCAAATATTTTCCTAAGCAGGCAAGGTGAGATGTGATCGGGGAGGTTGTACACATGGACTGGGTCGGGGCTGACTTTCTGGGACTGAGTTACTATTTCTTGTGTTACTTGCTTTACAGAATTGCAAGCTACCATGATAGTAAATATGGTAGGCATCACTTCGCCCAGCATGGAATATCCAAAGAAATCAAACTGATGTTTTAGTGCAGTAAAAATATGTTGCTAACAATCAGCTTTTAAAGTTCTTCCTTGGAATTTGGGATGAACACAACACATTTTGCCCACTTATTGTACATTAGTGTGTCCAGTTAAGCAGCACGCTCACCATGCCGTATTCCTCCCAGCAATGTTATGAATCCATGGGACATTCATTATGATGTGCCTTGTACATAGATCCAGTTAAGTTATAGAGGGCTCTATCTTACCTTTCAGCTGATGCATGGGGAAATAAAGGGCGCGGGCAGCCACAAAACCCTGTGTCAACAGCAGTGTGAGAGTTTTTGGAGGCCAGGCCAAATAATCTCATAATAATTGAGAGGCTGCTGGGAGAGACACCTGGTCAACACACCATATCTCTAGGGCATTATGCCTAGCCATGCAAGCTGATGTCCTCACTGAGTGCTAGCCAGCAGATGGTGGCCATACATGTTGCTTCTGTTCAGAGAAGCAGCAGATGATGTTCCACAGTGCTCATCCCTAGCTTGCCCTTTGGAAGTCCGCCCTGGACCATCAGGACTTTCTTTGCACAGGGCGCGCCTGCCCATACAGTTTCTGCTTTGCTGCACTGTCCAAGATTGTTAATGGCATGGCAGGTTTTGGTGCTTGTTGTTGAAGGCGCTTAGGTGAATTTTTGTGCTCTGATGATGAAATATTGTTGACATGTTGGACCAGGCATTATGTATTTTGCCCATTCATTTAAAACAGTCCTTTGGGTTCTTTATTTCTATGCAGGATGAATGAGGGGAGTCAAGAAGGTTGCACACAGAAGCAGACCATGAAAAACAGTACAAGAAAAGAGGTCTTTGGTGAGATCATTTCCCTGTTTCATCGGATGATGAGAAAATTAAGGCACAGGTACTCAGGCTCCTGTGGAACTGTAGCAGAGTTTCATCAAAGCTTTCTCTAATAAAAAGTAGAGATGTTCAAATCATCATCAACTAATTTATTTCAGGAGCTTCATGATATTTTTCAAATATATTTGACAAATAATTTGTTTGTACCCTTTGCCCAGCAGACAGACAGATATAGATACTATGAGCCTGATTTACTATTGTCCTGCACCTCTTGTAGTCCTTCCCAGCAGTGCAAAGTGGGTATATAAGCCTACCCTTCTGACCTGATAGCATTTTATACCCACTTTATTCTGGTGTAAATGACTGTGCAATGTTTAGGACAATGGAAAATCATACAGCCCCTAGTGTTAATGTGTATATATACACACATACAACTAAGATAAACTCTCTATGTGGCCCCCAAAATGTATGGCTCCAGGACAGCACTCCATGAGTTTGCAAGCTTGGCCACATGAGTCTAGTTGCTAGAGATGGTTGACTCACTGCTGCTCTAGCAACCATCAGTTTTACTACCTGAAGTGGTTGTAATTCACTTGGCCTTGTGTCTGATCTGCATTTTGCAAACTAGAGAATGATTGATCCATTTTGTAATTGTATTGTTTGGTTTTGCCTTCACATCTCAGCAAGCACTTTGCTGTGACATCCAAGCAGCACTAAGGAAATACACTCCCTAGCCTGCGAGCATGTGTACATTTGGAGAGGGCATTATCAAATTGGCATTAATGAGGGCTGGAATGAAATGAATTCTAGATGTATGGCTTGGGGACTGCAGCCATATGTTGTAGAGTAGCTGGGCCTGAAATCCCAAGCCAGCTTCAGGGCCTGATAAAGACCCGAGGCTGAAGGCTGGAGATCCTGGATTGAGGAGGCTCTAGATGTGAAATCATTGAGCTTTAATTAAATAAAAGTAGACCGTTCCTGTTACTCTTCCTGGTCATATACAAAATGCCACCACTCTAACTGCATCACTTGTCACAAAATGTTATTTTATATTATATGGATCTTTATTTTGGGGATTCTCCCATGAAATTATATACAAAGTGACAAAGCCCAGACAGGACCAAGGCCCCAACCCTTTCTGTGCATCTGCACAGCTAACAAATGCAGAGATACAAATGCGTGTTTGATGTACCTACATTTTGTGTGTACAGCAATAACATCTCTGCTGTTAAGAAACGTGGCTGTAAGTGGTGAGCTCTGAGTACAGTGTTTGAAGGCGTGAAGGGGAGTTACAGATGCACAACTGAATAAAGAAGAAAGGCTAGACCAGTCATGTATATACTTGGTGCTTTAAAAAGCGCCAATTGTACAAAGCTGAAAACAATTAGGAGCCAAATCAGCTGGGAGCAAGAATTTAATCAGAAAAATGTGAATGACAATTGGGAATTGCTTAAGAACACTTGACTAGAAGCCCAAAAGAAGCCACAATCCTACAACTGAGGAAGAAGGTCGTACTGAGTAAAATAGTGGCCTGGTTTAGAGGGGAAGTGAAAGCAGCTATAAAAATATACGTATAACAAATGGAAGAGGGGGGCAGTTGATAGTGATTGGGTGTAACCAGTAGCTAGTGGAGTCTATGGAGATTGACCATTGCTGTGACAAGAGTATCACCATTTGTAACCCTGATCCTTATGTAGGGAGGATCAGGAAATAAGTGCTGGTAAGAGACTAGACCATGTATGTCTCACTCTTCTTACACAGTGTCAGGAGAAAGCTAAATCTTGGCACAAATGGAGTGAATGAAACCTTCCGCATCCCTCAGTGTGGGGCTCAAATTGTGAAAGTTGGCAATAGCGGAGGCACTCACTTTGCTGCCCCATGGCATTTCAAAGGCTGTTCATTCGTTAAGTTGTGCTTCACAGACAAAGCACTTCCCTGGTGTTCTGTCATCTGTATTTGCTCCTGAATAGCTTCTGGTTGAGTTTAAGGCATAAGTTTTGACCAACAAAGCCCTCAGTCTGGCAGCAAAGAATTGGAGATGGTGGTTACAGTGCTTCCAAATTTTCTTGCAAGCAAGACGAGTGAAAAGAAATCAGAGATGCTGAAATCCTCTCCCATGCCACATGTAGCAGACCCAGAGTCCGTTGAGATCTACAAAACATTCCAATGGGAGTATGAAGGAGACTGCAAACTGCTAGTCAAAGCCATTTACAAACTTCAAGAATATGGTGATCGGCCCAAGAATGTCCCTTAGGCACTTTGCTTTTTTAAACAAGAAACCAGCTACGAAGTAAGACCATGGAGCATTTATGTTATTATTCAGATTTATAAAGCTAAGTTGTGAATTTAAACAATTAACAGATGGACTAATTAAAGACTGAATTATTTGTGGTATAATTGATTGGTAACAATGTCAAAGCAAGGTTATTGCAAGAAATACTAACTTTTGTTTTTGAAAACAAAGAAAACAGCTTTATATTTTAATTCATTCTATTGTGATGTGAATTATACGAACCCTACCTTTGGTTTTCTTCCATATCTGCACTGTGTTGACTTCATAGGCTCACAGTTTTTCGTATAACCTATCTATCAAGCATTACAGTGCGTTAAAGTAATCAGGGCTCTGTCTAACACAAATGATGTTGTCATCAGGTTTTACAAGTGAAGGTGATATTTTTCTCAAAACCCCTGAAACAATTCATCTTAATTAGCACCAGGGTGAGCTTCTGCATGAGATTAGAATACAGTTAATTATTGAGAAATGTCATGGTAAATGCATTCTCTTAGTATTTTTACATAGAGTGGCAAAAACAGTTCTCTTTGTTGGTCTGAAAGCTTTGTGTGTTCAACTCATTTTGAAACTCTTACAACATGATGAAAGATTAATCTCTCTTTCTGGGATTTTCCACAAATGAACGCAGGGCCAGAGGGTAAAATCTGACCCATAATACATAGGTTGACAATTTTAATTGCTACTGAGTCAAACACACACATTCTAACTTGAATCATGTAACCCCTAATGCCCTCACAGGTTTTCCAGAGAGATTATTATGAGTTATTCTGTTTCTTCTCCTTTGCTGTAATGCGCCATATTTTTTGGGGTCTCCTTGTGCAGACTGAGCTTTCTGTGGTCCCTTAGAGCCTGATCCAAAAAGCCGACGGAAATCAAAGGAAAAACTCCTGCCCTTAAAGAATGCAAATTCTTGTTACTAAATCACTTCCAAAACTGCAGTCTCAAAACAAAAATAGAAACAGATCTCTGGCTAAAGTTTAGTGTGTGATCAGTTCCTGTGGAGATCAGAGTAGACAAATAGTGCTTTCAAATCTTTCAAGGAAAAAGGAAATATTGGCTAAATACATCTCTGGTTACCACCATTGAAATCAATAGAACGAGGTGGAGTTGCCCCTGTGATGTTTTGGCCCAATATGTACACTAGTGTTGTGTTGACCTTCGCTCCTACCCGCCCTTCCCCATCAGTGGCAGCAGAGCTGGCTAGGAGTGCCCCGGCGGGAGGGTTATACCTCTAGGACGCAGAACCCCTCCCGGAGGCCATCCTGGGTTGCTATGGCTCCACGCTTCCTTAATTCAAGGCTCCGTCTTTCTGGGCCCTAGCGCCGCCTCCACCTCCGAAAGAGCAGTTTCTGATCCCGGGAATGTTGCTCCCTGTTGATTTATTCCTACACCCACCTTTCAGCTCCTGTTGGGAAAGGAATTGATGAATAGAAGACCCTGAATAAAATGACTTGGCATTTGTTTTCTGATGTGGTGAACAACAGACAGTCCTAGTCATGCTCAAGGCCCTCTTATTCATCAACAGCCCTAAACTAGCTGTGCCCTGTCATTATGAAACAATGCAGATATTTTATTTCATCACTTGTTAAGTCCAATGTGACAACAGAAAAGCATGGAGAGCGATGAGCAATAACATGCGTCTTGTCCATTTGAATAGGGCATTTATAGATTATTTTTTGTCATCAGTTTTTCTCCCTGGCAGCTCACTCTATAAAAATCTCAGCACCACTTCAGACAACATCATCATGCTCAATGGACATCATCATGAGATTTGCTCTTGGACCAGCTTAATCCCTTCACCCCTGAATTGTTTGCTACCACATGCTGTGCAGTATGTGGCTTTCCACATTGGAAAGGCTAAAGAAGTCCCACAGTGTTGATTGTCTGAAGACCAGGGTCCAGTTCAGCATGGCAGTGTTTTTGAATATTCTCCTCTGCACCCTGGCTGTGCCCAGAAGGGAGTCAGTAAATACTTACAATGCACTTATCTTTCCATGAGATTCACGAACTGGGCGATGCTGCGGCTATTTCAAATGCAGCATGTCTTTGATTATGCAGAACAGCTTCTTTGTTGTTGCTGAAAGCATTGTACTTGAAGTTTCTGCTGAAGTGAAGACCCCCTAGATTTTTCCGTGTGTATCGTAGTATAAGGCTATGACTACCCTGCAAATGAGGGTGTAGTTTGCAGCTCACAGAGACATGCTAGCTGTAATCTAGTTAGCTCGCTAAAAACAGCAGTGGGGACACAGCAGTGCGGGCTTCAGCACAAGCTAGCAACGTGAATACACACAAGGGAGGGTGGGGAGGTGGGCTCAGACAGCACACATGCCACCTTCTCACTGCTATATTTCGTGAGCGAGCTCAATTAAAGTTAGCATGGGTAAATCTCTGCAAGCTGCAAATCACAGCCCCAGTGTAAATGTAGCTGTAGGGTCAAATAGAACAAAAAACCTTTAGGGAGAATGAAGAAAGAGTTACTTCCCCATTTTAAGTTACTGTTTCTCTGCAGTGCTTTGAAAACTTGGTTGGGGTATCGTCAGATCAAGGCACGGAATATCTCAAACAAGGGGAAGTGGGAATTTTAAGCTACAAGTTGTCTATGCTACAAGTTGTCTATGATGAAATTCAGCATTTATATAGCATTTTACAATACATCTTCAAAGCACTGTACAACACCTCTGCAGGGGACATAAGTAAATATTATTATCCCCATTTTCAAGGTGGGGAAACTGAGGCAGTGAAGTGATTTGCCCACTTGTACTGTGAATCAGTGATAGACCCACAATTAGACCTGAGGATCCTGTACTTCTAACCTCAGCCTACTTTACTGGTGCAATTAAAACA